TGGATTACTCATGTATCTGCTCACAACTCCCACTGCATGGGCAATATCCGATCTGGTACAAACCATAACATACATAAGTGAACCAATAGCTGAAGCGCAGGGAATCTTACTTATGTAGTCTTGTTCCTTCTCTGACTTGGGTGATTGATTTTTGCTGAGTCTGAAGTCTGTCTAAAGGTGTGCCAACTGGCTTGGCCTTGTTCATATTGAACCTACTAAGCACCTTTTTCACATATTTAGCCTGTAAAAATTTCAAAGTGCTTTTGACTCAATCTCTAACAATCCTCATGCCAAAGATTTGTTTTGCCGCTCCCAAATCCTTCATTGCAAAGTGCTCTGACATCTGCTACTTCAGATTATTGATCTCATGAATGCTGGTCCCTGCAATAAGCATATCATCCACATACAACAACAAGATGATATGCTTATAGTATTTGTTTATTTAGGCATGAATAGATATACTTCATATGAAAAATTCGAGTGGTGTAATTGTAAGAAAATTAAAAGTTGAGTGTTAGATATGTAAATACATGGGTGATTTTATGTTAATGCCCTAATATATAAGCGGGCTGCAGTACAGTACAGTACAGCAAGCTAATCTACGACTGCATTTAAAAACTGTAAGAAATGAACCCTTTAAGACACTGCAAAAGTTAAGTTGTGCTGTCTTATCATTTAAAAAGAAACTCTCATCATTCCAGCTGAGTCCATTAATGAAATCTTGCACAGTAATGGAAAATCAACATGAACTTATCTACCCTCTTGTACCCGAAAACACACACGCACACAAAGACACACTCTCTCTCTTTCTGTATTTCGATTTTAGAAGAAATTTCAGGCAAAACAAGACCAGTGCTTGCCTCCTCGCTGGCAACCAAGCAGCAGGCATCCTTCTTGTTAAGCCTTTAGCTGTAGCAATCTTTCTCTTATTTGGTGGTGAGTGTGCAATTAATATGCTTTCAGGATTTGCTCCTCCATTTAGAGTGTTTTGAATCAGAGTTATTTTTATTTTTGAATTTAAAATAACTTGAAATTGTGGTATTCAGTTTAATGAAAAATAAAATCAATCTAAAATATATTATATATTTTTGATGAATTTTTTGTGCATGTTTTGAAATTAATATATCAGGGATAGGCTAATTCTCTATGTTAAGTTCTCTTAAAATTGTGTATAATGTACAAAAAAAATCTATTATTGTGATTTAGCAAGATTCTTTTGATCTTCCTCTTTTAGGAGAAAATATTGCATCAAGGACTCAACATGTAGAGTTATGTGCGGAGTCCAATAAAATCACGCTACGTGAAAGGACTTCGCATGTAGAGTTATGTGCGGAGTCCAATGAAATCACGTTACGTGAAGGTGACAGAAAAAATAAAATAAAATATATCCGGTAACACGAGAATATTCTTCCCGTGTTATTCAGGTGTTATTGTGTATTATTCAGATGTTATTGTGTGTTATTCAAGTGTTATTAATGTGTTATTGTGTTATTATAACACCGGGAATATTCCTAGAACACAGTAACAACTGAATAACAAACCATAACACTTGAATTATACAGAATAACACGGGAGAAATATTCTCCCGCGTTACCAGACAAAATTTTTTTTGTCACCTCTACGTGGCGTGATTTCATTGGACTCAGTTACGTGCGAAGTCCTAATGCAATATTTTTTTCTTCTCTTAGAGAGATTATGGGTCACATAATACACTTATTTTAAAGAGATATAGAGCTGATAATGATGTATTATGGTGCCATGCTCAATAAATCATATGAGTATTTATTGAAACTAAAATTTTATCATAATCTCGAGGCCTTTTGTTGTGATTTTGAAGACTTTTAGTTATGGTTTTAATTTTTGATAAAAAAACAAAAGAACTTGCAATGATTGTAAAATATATGTGATTATAAATAAATGGAAACTAATTGGCTTAGACATTTTGTAATGATGAGATTTTTAATTGTTAAAGTCATTACTATGCTACATTAATGGTTATAACTAATGCAATTTTATAGGTTTTAATAAAGAAATACAATTTTATAGGCAAATAAAATTACTAAGAAAAAATGCTTTAACATCCTTATATGCTCTAATAAATTTGAAAGTATATAATTCTAAATGCAACATGCAAAAAATGCTTTCTTTCTAGACATGAGCCACATAAGTAGTAATATATCGCTATCAGCCAGTAGAAACTATAAATGCAAGCCATATAGTATTAAAAATGGATCCAAATTTTAGTAGCTATTACGCAAATAGGTAATCTTACTCCCATGCCCTCATCATAAGGGCACATATTCCATTGATTTAGTTAAAAAGAGAGCACCTATTATTGACATAATAAAATTAGGTATCTACTTAATTATAAGTAATTAGTCCTTTAGCAAACTATTAACATAATATATATATATATATATATATATATAATATATATATATATATAAAAGTGTTTTAGAATAAGATAACAAATTAGTGGCAATGAACACATGCACGTAGCGCCATTATACTCTTTTCAACCCCTAATTATTATACTAAAAATATTTATTAGATATAATTGAGCTCTAAATCAACCTGAGACATCTCAGGTCAATTATGACTCAGATCAATTTGACGACATAATTGACCTGAGATTAACTCAAACTCTTGCCGAGTTAGATATAAGCTTGTTTATTTAAAAATACTTCAAAAAAATTTAGCATGAATCTCACATTTGCATACATATCACCTAATTTCTAAATATTTACCTAACATAAAAAAAAAAAAAAACAAATCAGCTAGAATTTACATGAGAACTTGTGGAAATTTGCATGAGAGTTACATGAAAAATTTTTATGGATATAATGGAGACAACCATTATATGGATGACATAACAATATTATTACATTTTTTACTATTTTATAAATTTATGATGATATATTTAGTAGAATAAGGTCGAATATTATCAAAAGATAATAACAATTTCATTGAAAATCAAATATCACAATTCTTCAATCTAAGCATATTAATGAGTATTTTTCTATCATGAAAATAGAAAAGATAATCCAATTAGCAAAAGTCATAAATTAATTATCACCACATAAGAATGTTATATAATCATTTAAGATTTCAAGAAATTATGCATCAATAAACATTCATATGTATTTATGTGTCTCACGATTATCAAATCATTTAGAATTTGATAAAAATGTAAAAATGTGGGTTAGGGGTTCAGTGTCAATTGTCATGTTAGAATAACAATTGATGAATTGGATGAATGTGGGGGTTAGTTTTGTAAATAGTAATATTTTGAGTGCTAAATATACAAGACTCGTAGAAAATCTTAAAGGCAGCCCAAAATGGCCATACGTTGAGCTTTCTGTGGCCTGTTAAGAAAAACAGTCAATACGTATAATTAGGACCAAACAAAGAACCGAACATGTGAAGTTAACATAGCTTGCTATCAATAGAATAACAAGCATATTTATAAAAATAAATAAGTAAATAATAAAAAATAAAAATATATATATAAAAAAATATAGTAATATATAATACTAATGCACTTATCAATAATGTATGCATTCATTGGATATTGGGGTGTTAAAAATGGATTTCGTAACTCGGCTAAAAAAGTTGTAGTTTTAGTTGGCCTAATTAATTGTTGGATCAGGTTCGAGTCCAAAACTCTAACACATTTAATTGTCCAGCTCGAGATCGAATTGACTGGCCAATCTGAAATTGACTCGAAACTAACCCACCATGGGAATTAGAGCGAATTTGACCCATCAACCCAAATCTTACTTAAAATTAAATTTAACTTAACCTAAATAATTATTATGCATATATTTAACTGGTTAGGTGGGTCGGTTCTGGGTCTGTTAGGTTAAAGGAACGTAGTTTTGGGTTTGACTTTTGAAACCCTTTAATATTCATATCGGGTTCATGTTATTCAACATTGGGTTGAATCAATTTGGGTCAGACATTATGACTAAACTCTCTCTCTCTCTCTCTCTCTCTTATTTGACAATTTTTACAACGACAATGTGTTGAGATGTATGTGGGATGCATTATTATGTTGCCCTGTCATTAGTTGACTTCATGTAGAAAGGGTTTTGACCGAGAATCATGAACTTGTCCTTAGTTGGTTATATATATAAAATTATAAAAGTTTGGCCTTACTTGGTTTTATATATAAAATTATAACATAGACATTTGGGTTGATCCCCAACTCTAGCCCTACCCATGCTGCCAAGCCATGTGACAATTCTTGCCTTCCCTCACTATAGATTTACAAACATACTCCACAATTCAAATATATTTACATATCTAAAATTTAATTTTGACATTTATATCACTTATTGAAATGGTGTGTTTCATATTAATTTTAAGTGATATTAAAAATTTGAGTGTTTAAATATAAAAATAAAAAAATGGACTGTAAATATGTAAATACACAAGAATTACATGGCCTGCATATAAATGTCCATAATAGTAAACTACACTTAGGAAACTAAAAAATCTATCCTAAATGTGTGGCTGCTGGGATTCGAGCCCAGGTCTTCACGGCCACAACGTGAAATTCTTACCACTAAACTACAGCCACAATGATGTCATCTTATTTACATAAATTATATTTATTTTCTATTGTTTTACCAAATTCTTCTATTTTAATATCTAAAAAGTGAAATGTATTTTTTATGGTGGCAAATACGCAAATACATAAGAATCGAGTGGTATCCAGGTAAATCTTCCCAGTCGATAAATTTCTAAATATGAAAATACATCACTTATTATGGATTTTTCCCCGGATTCGAGAAATCGGCGGAGCCGGATTTCTTCATTCCGAGTCGAACATCACTTATTATGGATTTTTCCCCGGATTCGAGAGCCGATTTCTCCATTCCGAGTCGGCTGCACATCAACGGTTTGCTTGTTTGTCTCCAAAGGATACACCACTCTTGCTTTCACTGGGCAGGATTATGAACGAGACTGTTCGCCGAAGTAGACAGCACAAAATTCTCATAGGTTGGGTTGTTCTTCTGTATCATCAAAACTCACTTTTTCATGCATAGCTTACACTACCTTTATTAATTATCATCAAAATACACTTTTTCATGCATAGGTTTCCAGCAACATTAATGACTTTTAATTGCGAGATACTAAAACTTGTTCTTTTTTGTTACTTAGAAGATTAAACAAGACTAGAGGGAACATTTAGTAGCCTCTAATTAGGAGTAGTACTGCTGACTATCTAAGTTTTAGCTCCAGCTGGAACAGTTCAGGTCAAATTCTCGGTAATCTGGAGCTGCATGGTTATTGGCATCCTGGACATTGAGATCCAATTGTGTTCCGATTCCATGATCACTGAACTTCTCTGAGCTTTTTTGTTGGAATGGAGCTCTTCCACGGCCTGGTTCTTCAAGGTAATCATCTTCTTTCTCCCTTCTCATATGGAGTGCTTTGCTGATGTTGTTTCCTTCATCTTTATCTTTTTGATTAGTGATGCTCATTGATAAAATACCAGGGTCTCTTTCCTGGCCCTTCAACTCTCTATACGAGGTGGATTGGATCTGTTCAAGTCTGGAATTCTTCTCCGTTTGTGCTTTGCTTTGTGACAGATTGCCATGGTAAGCTCTCAGGATCATATTGGTGCAATGCATTGCTCGGTCCATCTTAGATCCTTCGGATGTGGTCAAGCAGCTATTGATGGAGCAGTCTGCAAATTGGATTGGATTAACTTTCAAGTTATGCGGATCTGGAATTTCCTTCATGTTTGAGGCAAGTTCGGAGATCTGCACTTTAGCAGCTTCAGAGCCCACAGGGCACAAGTTCTGGTTTTCAAGTGTTATTTCAGCCTTTTCCAACACTGATTGTAAGTATTTTCCCTGTGCTTCCATCCGCACTTGCAAGTGTTGTTGCACCTATGTTGATTTTGATGTAGATTAACGTTGGGTCTGAGAAATTTAATGATATTCATAATTAAGAAAAAATAAGAGCAAAGTTTAAGGAATCATTAGTCACGTTAGAATCCTTGTAAATACTTAAAAAAAGTCATATTTCATCTCATATGATGACATCCGCAAAGTTTAGGCCTTATTTGGGCCTTTTTTAAGAAATCGTTTGAAAGGTAATAATATGCTTCATTTTTTTTAAAATTTTTTAAACAGATTGATTTGTTTTTAAATGCATTAAAAATAAGTTTTTGAAAATCTCTCAATCCGCTCTCAGGTTCCAACTCCACCCATCTCTTGTCTCCTCCACTATTTTCTATGGTACCATCTTCCATAGCTACTATTGTCAGATATCCTGCCAAATATCCAGTCTCCTTCACTCTTGATCTCACAAATAACCTCCCCAGTAGTTCACAAAATGCTTTGAGTGGCTGTTGGTCAGCTTGGAATGCCAAAACTATGGCCATGGGTTTTGGCGGTAAGGCTGAAATTTTATAGATGAAAGAGAGGACTCGAAGAAAAGGGATTTGTAGATGGGGTACCAATGGAATTTGTTGATGGAGGTGGGATGAAACCAATAATAGATGCATGGCCTGCAGTAGAGATGGAGAGGGTAAACATCAAATTGGAAGAGTATTCAAGGTAGAATATTGCAACTAAAGCGGCGATTCACCAACGGAGAGTTTGGGGAACCACTATCTACTTCATTAAAAGATCTTGTGCTCTAGTGAAAATTCAAATATGAGATAGAGGAATTAGCTGATGAATGTTCTTGCTACTTCCATGTATTTAGACGAAATGTGTAAAGGAATGAGTGCAAACGGATAAGTGCTAAATTATTGTAATGAATTAGCTTTTATTTTAATTTTGTTTTCTACCCACGTTTTTGCCTTTTTTTGAAATCGGGAAATCACCCTTTTACAACTTGCACATTTTTAAATATTAATGTCAAGTGAAGAATAAGGCAATTATTTAAACCTCCTACATGATGCCAACATTCCCTTCCCTTCTTATTCCCTCTTTTACCTTACTCTTTTGTTGTCTCTTTCTACAGTCTTAGCCTATCTACAAGCTCTCCAATGGTTGCCAGATCACATGCCTCCCATAGCGTGTAATGTGTCTTGCATTTGTCGTGCTTCGCTTTCCTTCTATCATCGTGTGTGACGCATCTTCCACATGAACCATCACTAAGGTCAGGATTGCTTGCGCTATAGTGAGACTCAAATATCAAAGAGAGGTCATATGAGATAACACAAAAAACCACTCGTTTTAATATTTATCTACTTATGATGGATGTCCCATACTGATAGTAACAAAAGAAACTTGTTGCAACCTCGGTACATAAGCAGCCATGACCTTTCTAATCCTCCATGACCCTAAAATTCTATAGGAAATAATTTCTATGTCAAAAACATCATTGTGAAGTAGGCAATCCACGTATATCTTCAACTTACTACTTTCACAAAATCAACATTCTCCATTTCGAAATTGGCCCCTTGATTGCTTATAACAATGATCTCCCTAGTTTTAGGCCACTCAGATGCTAGTCTGCAAGTCCTCGCCTCTATGTTTTCTCTTTATCTATCATTCTATGACATCCTATAGCAAATATAGGTATTCGCCATAACTAAATTTATTCTCTTTGGGGCCCATCAACTACTTACTTTGATACCACTAATCTCCTCAACATTGTATTTGCTATTGCCAAATATGCGATATTCATAATCGCATAGTCAGGCAGCGCCCATGTTTCCATTGATTACCTCTTAATCCACAACCAACTTAAGCTTCTCAGTACCTTGTCTCAAAGGGTGTTGTCATCTAAACCAGGATAGTCATGAGCCTACTATACCCTACTATCAACATTACAATAATTCTAAATTGAATTCTTAGTAGTGGTGCTTCCTACCTCATCATTGTTGTCTAAAGAAATATCTTTCCTTTCAATTCGTATAATGGTCTTGATGATATTATGATTGGGGAAGCACGATTTGACCCATAGCCAACATTGATTCCACATATTTACCCACTATGACTCACAATTTTCTCATAAATGATGTCCTTAATGTACTTAATATTAAAAAAAATTGTATTTCATCTACTTCTTTTTTCATTTTGACCAAGTATCTATTGACTTTCTTCTCATTGCTTTCCATTTGAATGATCTACACCATGGGATAATCCTTTTGATGAGACAAACTATAGATGGTGTCTATGATTGATCTATTTCTTTGGTAGCCTCATATTGCTAAAATTTTTAGTATCAAGTTCAATTTATCTTAGTGGAACCACAGATAGTACTGTCTGTTAATTTAAATTCTCAAGCACATTGTCTCCAAGTTCAAGTTAGATCTATCTTATCCACTATGTTAAAGCAGTAGAAGTCATCATTTTTCTACCTCCACTATTTACTCATCTTAGCCTTGTGAAATATTATTCTTTAGTGTAAAGAGGTTGTCCCTAAACCCTAAACCCTAAACTTCTTTTGTAGCAAACCTGAGACCCTCCATAACAAAAACAACCAACCAACTCCCTCCCACCCCAACAATACTCGCATAATGATCATTCGAGCTATAAGTAATTTTTGCAAATTAGTCCATTAATAACAAAATTAAACCAACCACTTTTGGAATAGGACATGAGAACTAGTTCCATCCATCTACATTCAAAATTTTGCTTGGCGCAAGAGCTTCTCTTAGAACAAACACAACTATGATGGCTTACTTTCCTCCACTCTAGCTAAAAAAAACACACAATTATGATGGCTTTGTTGATAGGCACATAGCTTAGCTAGTGGTTTACGATTTTCACCAATGGCCAGTAGATTCATTTGGTTCAATTGCCAAGACTACCATTGGAAGACTGATTCTCAACACAGTTTTCAGTTAATGATGGTATCTTCATGAACTCAATGCCAACAAAACTTTTCTTGAAGGCCATCTCTCTAAGGACATCTTCATAGTATAATTCCCAGGTTTGTTTGGCAAGGATCATCATATATCTATATGTGCAAGCTTTGCAAAACCATCTATGTCATAAAGCAACACTCTTGCATGGTATTTCAAGCTATGAAAATTTTTAGTTAATTCTGGATTTACCAACCCTCCAACTAATCTTTATCTTTAGTACATAATACAATTATATACCTTCGGATTTATATTAATGACATCATTATCAGAGGTAACTGTAAAGCTACTAACAGAGAAAGAAGGAGACTCAAGAAGAAGAAAAGTCAGAGGAAAAGCGTGAAGAAAGATAAGAACCAATCCTTTTATTACAACATTATTTGTATCACAATGCTACATAACAGAAACTGCAAATCCCTTTATTTATGTATTTGAGATGATATACTTGTAAATAGTGAAATGGGTAAAACAAACAATATAAATATTAAGGAAATAATATAAATCTATTGTTATGTGTAGCTAGCCCTAGCGAGCTGAAGAGAGGGCGAAGGGAGCAGCAAGGAGCGAAGCAGAAAGCTAAGCTCGACAGGTATGCTATGAACCTTATAACCAAACCCCCCCCCCCACAAAAGTTGATGAGTGAAAGAAGAGACCGTCAACTTGTGAGAAAGGCCAGATGATCTCTTATAAAGGAATAGTCTATTTCACTATGTTTGGTTCTTGCGTGTGTTGACCTCACTTTTGGTTGAGGTCTAGAAACTTCTTCAGTAGCCTAGGTCTAGCCATAGGATTTTCCTATTGACTAGTCTTAGAAAACTAGAAAAGGTACCCTCACCATTAGAAA